TTCAAAAGTGTCAAGTTCTAATAGCATACAAGATGATCTATTATTACCAATAACTAAGTTTATGGTGTTATCAGATCCCTCACTTTGTGTTCATGCTACTTTTGTAAGTTATTACATAGTTTAGTATAAGACAGAAGTGATTTGTATTAAAATTTTGCCCAGTTACAGATCAGGCATCCCACTCAAGAGTTATATTCTCGACCAAATGTTTGTTTTCACTTCTGGGTTAAAAAAAAAAACAGAAACAAAAAAGAAACTTGCAGGCGACAGGGGAATGTCAGGCTTGAGGGTTGAAAGCAGCAGTTCATAAATCAAAGGGTGGGGTTATAACCTGGTTGTGGCGCAGAACAGGGTTGTAAATAAAGAACGACAGCAGGGAGACACACTTTTCTGTTTGGTGTTCCTCACATAACAGCTCTAAAGATCACTGCAATCTTTTATTGGTTTGAAGACAGAAAGCAAGTCTGTTTACGGGACACTAAAAAAGAATTATTGTGTACAACTAAAACCAGACTTTTAAAGTGCATGTTAATTTGTTTTGTCCTATCAAAATTGAAATCAAACTTGATGAAATCAATGCAAATGTGTTCTCAATTGGAATCCCACAATATTCCCTGGACATGCTCAGAAATCCCAGGTTTTTGCAAATGTACAATGCTTGAGTGTAAGCTGACTTTAGTCCTAATAAAACAGCTCGTGTACACCTCATTTCAGTGTCTTTTATCAGATGGCCATTTCTGTTACAGGCTGTGACTGAAAATCAGTCCATTAGCTGCTCGAATACTTTCCAGACTATTCCTCCGCTCTATTAAAATTCTCATTATTTGAACTAGACCATCAACCGATAAAATCACCTCCTAAGTAACGAGGAATTAAAAACATCTGTGGGGGGAATGTTGGGATACTTGCATGTGTGATGATCTTCTTTGGGGGAAAGTTAAAAGAGGCTGATCTTCTTTCTTTTTTAAATTTCTCTGGTAGTCCAAAACCTTGCAGACGTATTACACTTTAGAATTCACTAAATTTGAGAATGTATGTAGTAAAATGATGGTGGTCAAAGGTAATAGCACTGTGGAGTTGTGTAATGTAACAAAGCTATGGTTTAGAGCACATACCATAAATTGAAATTACACAAGCAGTTTATGTGGCTCAATCATTTCTACATTTTGTTTTGGTTGATTAATCTGCACTGAATGATAAAACTGAAAAAAAACTACATCTTCCTAAAGTTTGAGCATCAGACCAATATCATAATTTTCATTAAATTGTGATGCAGTCTGAAAGAAGTTTGGCAGGTGAAATCATGAGTTGTTATGATGAAAAAATAAAAATCTACCACATCTCAGGTTTGCTGAGACGATTTCTGTCAAAACTGGAAGTCAAAGAGAAGCAAAAACTTGAGAGAGAACATTCTGTTCCATGGGTTTCCCGATTGTAACCGCGTCCAGTTTCGACTTTCCAACTCTCTCTTACAGCGAGCTCAAAATGTATGTCCAGTTTAGTCTCTACTGTAGATGTTTCTCACTGGACGTAACCGTGTTGACCACACTGTTCTGATGTTTACACCCTTTAATGCAGGTTCTGATGTTTACACCCT